AGGCTTATCTAGGCCTTGAGTGGTGCGTGTCAGTTAAAGGGAGTCATTGTCACCATAAAATGAGACAGGGATTGCTAAAACATGAGTGCTTCAAGGTCACAATAAGATCTGCCACACACCTTACTGTATCAATACAGACAACAGATATGTAACTATACTGGAGGTGTCTAAAAAGAGACATCAGGTTTCTTGAGATTGTCATTCAACAATCTTGCTGATGTCTTTGGAAACGTGATTTCTGACATGTGAACAGTCTGCAGGTGTCTGGCTGTTCATTGACAGAATATACTCTCTCTGCACTGATAGAGTGTACTGTGATAAAGTGAGCAGTTGGTGGAGGGTGTGTGTCCTTACTCTCATGGATGATGATGTCAGGTCATGAGTGTGTCAAACCAGAAAAGAACAATGTATGTAAAGGATTAGTAAAAAATATCTGTACTGACAAAATACAATTCTATAAAAATATTTCATTCTGTGTTTCAAATCAAGTGAATGAAAAACTGATAAAAAGGCAGTGAGTGCCTAGTCTTCTAGTTAAGTTTGAGAACAGTGTGTGTGTGTGTCTGTGTGTTTGTGTGTTTTTTTCTTGACAATGTAGTTTCCCTGCCGTCTCCCACACAATAATTGATTTTGGCTTTACCTTTAATGGAAGTCTGTGAGGTGTGGAGAAGCTGTGATTGCGAAAAACATCCAATCTTCAGCAGACACATCGTCGGGCCTGCATGCTGTGATACAGTTTGTGTGTGTGTTTGTTTACTGTGGGATGTTAAATCTGTTTCAGACATGTTTATTCTCTTCATCAGAGATGACATGCAGTAATTCTCCCCTTGCTATTATTACAATTCTGATGATTCTGCTTTTATTGTGCATTTTGTGCTCTTTCCCAATATCCAGAAAACATCTTGGCACTGATACAAACAATCAGCAGTTTAAACTCTGTAGTCAATAACAAGTTGTTAAATAGAAGAACTCTAATTGTCTCACCAAATAAAATGCAAAGGCAGTCGATGCAGGCAGATTTAAATATCTAAATATTTGAAGAATTCTTCCCTTCAAGCTCATAAGAAATGAGATTTCTATTAAATATTATCAATGTCTAGTGCACTGCGCATATTAAGTTCCCCTGAGGGGTTTCCTTCTTCCATTGAACACCCTTAAAATCTTTGACTCTTTCTCCTGTTCATGTTATTGACACTGATACAACTCAGCCAATCATGATTCTTAATCAGACGTCAATTTAACCAATAAACTGTGTAGACTTTGAATTGGCATGTCAAGACAAAAGAAGATGTCTCATTTATATCACAGCAATGTCAAGAAATGTCTTAATGCCATGGCTCTACCTTTGAATATCGGAGTCTGTGGTGTTTGAAGCCTGAGTTATCTCAGCTGTCCACTTATACATCAATGGGAATGTTGTGAGTTGTTACTACTTTTAAATAAATAAGAACATCACTTGAGATTTCATATGAAAATATAATCATTTCAAAGCTTTTGTATTTTTTCCTCTTTATATAACAGGCCAGTGAAGATAGACAGAGTGTTGGGACAACATGCACCAAAGTGCCGGCTGAAAAGTAATCCTGTATTTGTGAGACGAGTGATAACTTTTTTATTGGAGAGATCAACTTTCACGACTAGCATTCCCAGCTGGATTCATACGTGGAGCTAGGACTGCTGACTGTGTTGCATGGTACATTTTGATTTCAATTTGGTTAACATTAAGCAGGAATGGGACAAACGATTGAGTCCTTTTTCCAAGGTGTCTATCTAGAAAAGATTTTCACAAATATGACCTCCCAGTTCTGTCAGGATAAAAATGCATCCTCATGAACAATTCCGTTTACATTTGGAAGGATTACTTTTTGAGGATCAATGTCTTCTTATTTACAGTCTAAAGTCATTGAAAGGGCAGGAAGGTAAGTATGGATCTCACTCGATTTAGCTGCAAAGTAGTATGGTGCACCACACATAGGCTACAGAACTGTTTCCAGTACTTCACATTTTGCAAATAATTCATTATTCTCTTACTTTACGTGTTTTAATTTGGTAGCTTTATTATTTCTTGATGTTACTTTGATATAATTGTGCTGACGGCTGAGTAACTTAAAGTCCAAATCAAGAATTCAAGTCATCCAAAATAACCTCTTATCAGTGGACAGAAATCCTGTTATAACAGACAACACACTGATAACAGCACACACTGCTGCAGAACTTTACTGCACCAGTATCAGTCATATCATATGGGACAAAAGGTTAGATTAACATCAAAGGAGAACTGAGGCATCGTGGGAAAAAGTTCTTATAAAATGAATGGAACTTTGAATATATTGAAGGAAACTTTGAATATATGGAATGGAACTTTGAATATATGGAATGGAACTTTGAATATATTGAATGGAACTTTGAATATATTGAAGGAAACTTTGAATATATGGAATGGAACTTTGAATATATTTAATGGAACTTTGAATATATTGAAGGAAACTTTGAATATATGGAATGGAACTTTAAATATATTTAATGGAACTTTGAATATATTGAAGGAAACTTTGAATATATGGAATGGAACTTTGAATATATTTAATGGAACTTTGGGGGCTGTCATTGTAGTTCAAGAGTCACCTTGAGTCTAAGCAGTCAAATTTCATTGCAATCCATCCAATTGTTCCTACTTCTCCCCTTTTTTCCTGGCATCTCTATGGTGTTTTCAATTTTAGACATAAGACATAAAAAGCCCAAATATATATTCATTGTTAAAAACTATGGACACATAAGGACAGTCCCTAAGCTGTTATGATTAGTTTCATTTTGTCATTTCTATCTTTATGTTTCTCTGTTTCCTGTCTATTTTTCTGCCGACATTCCTGAGATTAGTTTTCAGTGTTTCCTGTTTTATTTTGTAATTTCATGTCTTTGTTTCTTCCTGCCTCTCCATTTCAATTGCCCTGATTGTTTTCACCTGTGTCTGATTACTCCAGTGTCTATTTAGTCTCACTGTGGTTCTCTTCTGAGTCAGTTCAAACATCTATACCCGTTGTTCATTGTGGATTTCACATCTTACCTCCCTGTGTCTCCCTATTTCTATTTCTCCTTTTTGCCCTGGTTTTTTCTTCTGTGGAATTTTTGTTGGGAGTTCAGTTTGCGTTTGATGGGCTTTCATGTGGAACTTGAAGAAGTACATTTTTGTTTAGCTTTTTTTTTTTTTTTTTTTTTTAATTAAATCATAAAAATAACATTGTTCTGTTTAGCTCGCACTCGGATCCTGTTCCTCGTTATTTAAACCTCATGACAAAAGCATGTAAACAGTTAACTATCTCTTCGTCAGACATATTTCATCACCTGATAGTCATGTATCAAAGCTGCCCTCTATCAAAATGCGATGGCTTTATTGTTGGTCACATGGGTCAATATGGTAGGTGTGGTGATAAACTGACACTTGGCAGAGTGTGCACTCCTCACATTATGTGCGTTGTAATTAACTCCACTGAAAACATCTAGACATCTGGCTAAAACTTATGCTACGCCATAAGTACACACCATAGACTGTAAAAATAATACATACACACAAAGATGTTGATTGATGTGTATACCGGATATCCTGAACAAGTCTATAATACACTTTGCATTTTTATAACTTTGTTCTTCCTAAAACATCAAACAGTCATGCAAATGTAAATAAAATAGAATAGAATAGAATAGAATAGAATTACTTTATTGATCGAATTGATTGAAACTGGGAAATTGTGGCGTTACAGCAGCAGGTTATCCAAACACACAATATGAGCAAAAAAACACAATATTAGCAAACTTAAACAAAATATAATATTAAATACAAAGTAAATAAGCACTAAAAATATCAAAACTAAGAAAGGGGAATATATACAACCAGGATTTAACTTAGCATGACTAGTCGGTAAATATATTCAAGGGAGCCCTTTAATACTTCTGTATTACTTGGTGTCTGTTGCACCACTCTTACATTCATCGCAAAGGCCTAGGGTGCATCCGAATTGTCCCTCCTATCTCCTTTCACTATCCACTTTACCTTAACCCCGCGAAAACGTCATGAGGTCAAGGAAAGATGTTAGGAGAATTCATAAAGGATCATTACCGGTTGAGATCCCCGCACCCGAGGCCGCGTGGCCACTCGGTGCTGGCGGCGGATCGTCACAGTCTATGATCGTCACTCAAAAACTCTCCCTTTACAGAGAGTAAAACTAACATCTGTCTCTGTCCTTGCAGAGAGCAACACAAACACTGTACACAGCGTCATATCATGTCCGGAAAACAAAGATACATCGGCGATCTCGTTGCTCTGACAATCCGACCGCATTTTCCACTAGGCGACGTCATTAAATGCGACGGGCCGGCGGAGGTTAATGACGTAGGTCTGCCGTGTTGAAACTACAATGTTCCGAAAATGGACTACAAAAAACGCATCTAAAAAACTTTCCCCTGTGCTTCTTACCGGTGAAATAATCCTAATTACCACAAGGTTGGGATTGAAATAAAGGAAATAGAGACTACCAGACTACAAGTAAGAAAAGTGAAACCTTCAGCTTCCTGTCCACTCAGAAATCAACATCAAAATAAATATGAAATTAATTGTTTCATGTATGCAAGACAAGAATGTACAACTGAAGAAATGCACAAAACATTCTGAATTGAATGAAATATGTTGAATAAAACATGATCTGGATAAAAATGTCTCTTATCTTTTATCTCTTTCATGATCTGTGTCACTTTACGATCATCGTTAATGTTCGTGAACAGTCGGATGCGCGAGTCGCTTTAAATGTTGCGGCCGAAAGGAATTGTGGGGCGTCAAATCTCATCTCCTTTGGTAAAGGATGGTCCAGTGTATCCTATGCTAAAGGAGGTTATAAAGGAAGCATTGACCCACCTTTCCTTAACTTTTAGAGAATTCCAACGGCTCTTACCATGGCCGCCACTTAACTGCTTCCGGGGTTAAGGTAAAGTGGATAGTGAAAGGAGATAGGAGGGACAATTCGGATGCACCCAAAGGCACCCAAAGTCACCCTCAATGCAGGATACAAGTAGCATCAGCTCAATTACAGACTTTAATGGGAAAGGCACTTTTTCCCCCTTGACTGCACTGCCCTCTAGTGGATTATGTAGGTAACACAAGTAGTTCATGAGACATTTTAAACACCCAGTATGTTATGTATATTTAATAATATATGTTATATTCTATCTTATTTTAAAATTACTCATGATAACATATAACGTACACCATACCCCTTTAAAGAAACAGATGTTACGCCCTGCCCTCACGACCAGCTGCTCTGACAGAGAAAATGTTTCCCCTGAGGTTAATTCCGCGTTCCCCACCGACCAAACCCCTCTCTGCCTCGACTGACTGACTGCCAAAAAAAAAACCTTTAGCATCCTCCTCGGACAGCTTAAGCAGAAGTTTAAAGTGCAAAATGGGAGAAATGACGGAGCGAAAGAAGTTTTCTGAAGTTATTAATCAGATATTTCAAGAGGCGCCTGCTGCAAGGAATGGTCTCGTTGATAATTACAGCAACCTCCTTAAAGTGGCGGATTACTGCGAGAACAATTACCTTCAGGTAAGTCATATTTGAAAATATATAGCCTATATATATAATTTTTTAAACACCAATGACATCACATGTAATGGACAATTCATTGAATTGTTCTATGACCTCATTTAACCACATTTGGGATGTAACGAAGTACATTTTGACTTCTTAAGTAGGCTAGGCTACAGAAATGCATATTTTAAGGAACTTAATGAGAGTATTATAGCCGTGCTTTTTGTTACCCGTTGGCTTACTTATATGCCTTATATATCATTTCAAGAATATGCTTTTGTGAAACTTTTTAGCCATGTCTAATTTATGTGACAAACTCTCAAGTTGAAAATGTACATCTTACACCTTTATAATGTGAAGTAGGTCTATACAATTGTAACTCTGCAATATAAGCCTTTTAATAGGCCTACTAATAGCCTATATTATTATTCCATATTATTCAAATATCGTTAGTATTTTGAAAAAGTATAGGCTCCATTTCCTTTTTTTCTTTGGAAATGTCTGATAGGCTATTATAGCTTTGAACGACGTATGCTATTATTACTTTTTATAACCAAAATTGGAATTGTTTTTCCTTATCTCATTTTAAAACGTATTTTTTTATCCTGTTAAAAAAAACCTGCAGGCAGATGATCCCACCAAGGCTATGGAAGAGGCCAAAGCATTAGTTGCCCAATCTCTGGCCAGTGTGACATATCAGATCAACAGCCTGGCCTGCACCCTGCTGAGGCTGCTGGACTCTCAGGCCATGCAGGTCAAAGATGTGGAGTCCTCTGTTAACATGCTGTCGCTGGTGAGGAGCACCTTTCACCTGAATCACAGCTGAGATCTGCACAAGAAAGTGATGGGGTGGTGGTAGTATCTGGTATCCTTAGACGTATTTCATCAAGTCCTTTCTGTAGGCAATAGGCTAAACATTGTGTTTCTGGTTGTCGATAAATAATAATCATTTAAGATCCTAAACTTTTGTGTTTACATAAAAAAAAAAAAAAAACACTATTTTGTTTTCCATCTATGTTTGTACATTTTACTTTTTTCTATTGCATTGGTGAACTGCATTTGTCTTAGCAAAAAACGGTGTGACCTGCAGATTTAAAAATATCAAGACTATTGATGTTGTGTTTCTTCCAGTACAAACCTGGTTCTTTATTTGGTTACAAAGAAGCATGCAAGTTGGTGTGTTCATTTCTCCTGCAGGTCACTTTTTGTGCCTCAACCTGTAGTCTGTTTTGGTTTCTAGGCTCTTTTTTGCTTTGTTGCTGCCACATCTTTGAGAGATATTCTTTGATGGAAACAAGGAATTGAAAATGGATTGCTTCTGTATTACATTGTTCTCTGATCCAGGCTGCAGCGATCCACTTTGAGAAGGTTGCCAGGAGAGAGATCGGTACTTTTACTACTCCCAAAACCAAGAGTTGTTCCAAGCTTTTGACCCCACCAACCTCAGGCAAGGAGCCAATGAAAAGCTATCAAAGAGTGCCCATTTCATACTCCATCCTGGACCCCATTGGACACTGTTTTATGGTAAACTGGATGCTTCATTTAAGACAGAGTACACATAGTTGGCATTATTACCAATAAATAAAAGAGGTACAGAAAATGTGAGAGTGACATCCACCATTGCTGACTGCTGGATAGAGATCTTCTATGTTTTTTAACATTTATTTATTTCTACCCACAGTTCACCGAGCAGACGTTTAGGAAGAGAGCAGATACCACAGAGAGCATACAAAGCACATCCGACTTCCCTGTGTATGTAGACAAACTCCAACTTCACTCTTTTTTTATGATAAACAAAAAATAAACAATTACTTTGCTCCAGTGTGCAAATCTTTCAACGGGGAAGGTCTTGCTGCCCAAACTTCACCTGCAATCCCATAACAAAGTAAATTTAAGATCTTGTTTATGTCTCAAATATGTCTCCAAGACAAAAAAATGAGCACTAGTCAGGACCACAAAGAGCTTTTGTTGTCTCAAAACAGTGAGCCCTGTGTGAGGTCTCTTATATTTATTACAGTTGTCTCATATCAAGATCTTATCTAGAAGAATAAATGAGACTACAGCGAGCTCTCAAATTTGGCTCAATATGATCAAAACTATAGAAAACAGATAAGTGGTGTCTAATATCGCCACTTTGCCTTAATAAGACTAAGAGCAGTTTATTCATGGGATGGCCAAGATACATGTTTTTTCGTTTACATGCAGTCTGTACAATATGGAGAACTAAATGTTAATTTCACACACAATTCAAATTGTTTATAAAACATTCCCACAGAGTGGAAACTTTCAGTCATTTAAACCACTTAAACAACAGAAAGGTAATGGCTCATTAAGAAAAAACGCTGTACTCTGCGCTGCAGGAGACACATTTGTTAACAGAGCTGTCAATCATGACATCAAATAACTAATTCAAAGGACAATTCTCAGAAAAATTATGACTTGAACACAAAATGGCATGACAATATCTAACTATAACAATGAAACCGGGTCTCATAAAACTTGATCAGTCATGTGTCTTGCTTTCAAAGTTTTGACCCATGTCCTATCTGTGAACACAGAGGAGGCAGGGTTCATACTGCAGCTAGATGCCGGGGGCTGGGGGCATAATTTTGGCTTTGACATGGGTATCCATTCTTTATTCAGTCGGAACATCCTGGAGTACAAACTGGTTCAAACTTGGTTTTCTTTTGTTCTTCCAGATCCAGTTTAGGCATCGCTGTGCCTCCACCATCAGTCCCCACCTTCAAAACCATCTCCAACCCCACCAACGACAGCCTGCCTCCCCCACCCCCTTCTTCCGACTGGGACCCCAATATGCCTTCACCCACATGTTTACCCCCACCCCCTCCGCCACAGCCAAACTCTCCCTCAAATGGCATGTACCCATCTCCACCACCTCCTCCAGCTGTAGCAGGGGGCGCCGCTCTACCTCCTCCTGCTCCACCTCCTCCTTCTTTCACAGGAGGTGCTGGTCTTCCTCCTCCACCTCCCCCACCAGCCCAACTTTTTTCAGGAGCTGCTCCACCTCCTCCTCCTCCTCCTCCACCACCCCCTCAAATGGGCAACTCTGCTTATGTGCCACCCGCCCCTCCACCTCCTCCATTTTAGTTCACTTTGGTGGAGCATGATATTTCTTTCCTTCAGAATTGTTTTTGTATAAAGTGCAGTTAACATTGAGTGCATTGTGCTTAGACACATGCAGGGTTTAACCATTAGATGCATGCGTGAAATGTCATGTGATGCATTTTCAGACCTTTTGTGAGATCATTGAGGTTGAATAAAAGCTAAAAAAAAAGTGCGTAGTGGTCTAACCTTGAACTGTTTCATCCATGTTGGATTGCACAATCTGAGCTTCAAGTGAGAGAAAATCCTCCTCAAAGAGAAACATTTTGGCAGCAGGAATTCCTCCAACGTGTTTCAACAAATCCTTGTCTGCATTCCTCAGACTCATGCTGACTCTTGTGTTTCCCTGGTATCCTCGTTTTTTTCCTGCAAAGTCATCGCCCTTCTTTATTATGTTATCAATGTTTCTTAATCAGCTATTGGCTCTTATTTCAGAACTGTAGGTCAGTCTGCCAGTGTCAGTGGGAATAACGTGTTTTCTTCACCTCACCGAGCTCCACTACTTTAAACAGTCCAATGAGGCTATAAAAATGTCCATTTCATGTCAACACTCTGACCTGCAGTTCATGGCTTGTACTTGAAGGTAAGCTTTATTTCAGCATTAAAATCTATCTAAAGATATTTTCTTTTCTGGTTTATATTTGACTGTTCAGTTAGAACTGTCGCTAGAATAACAACTGGTGATGTTTATTTAAAAAAAAAAAAAGTTGCTTAAGCTATACAGCTTTAACTTTGAACTGTTGTGTTGTGTAAAAAGAAAGTCGAGATCAAGTGCATACACAATCTGATCTGTGATACTACTTTGATTGTGCAGCTTACACTCATGCATTAGTATTTTAGCTTCAGAGACATTCCCTTTAATGGGTGTGTTTTAAGGACTTGCGAGGTTATGAGCTACCTTTGCACTTCCCATGTAAGACTGTATTGCAAAACAAAACATAAAATAGCAAACAGTAAAATATAATCACAATCTTAATGTTGAAGATAAGGTCAGTCCATTTTTTCATTTTCTCTAGGTGTTAAAGCTGACAGAAGAAACATTACCATGGGCTTTTATTTTCCTGTGTTTGAGTAAGTAATCATTATAGGTCATTTTGATCACTGCATACCTCACTGTATAAATGCTGAGCTGTGCTTTGTTTCAGGATCCCCCTGTTGGTTTTTGGTATCGTTTTATGGATTTTATGTTGTTATTTTGCAAACCAACGAAGAGAAGCAGAAGGCTGGCCCCTGAGGACGACAATTTCTCCATCTGTTTACATCATTCCTTTTTATGAACAGCGGGGGGACGAGGAAGTAATGGATGTATATGAATCATATGTTCAACCTCCTTACAGAGATCCTCCCATATACTGCTCAAGAAGTGTGACTCCACCTCCTCCATACTGGGTACAGCACAGCTGTAGTCACATTCATAAAAAGATACTGTGTTAGTTAACAGAATTAAATTTATACTTTTCTCTTCTCTAGCTTGAAAGAACATCTTATCTGGACTCCACAGCCTCATACACAGACCCTCCAGCTTACTCAGAGCACCAGTGATCCTCTTCCTCTTCCTCCTCCGTTTTTAAATGGCATTTAGTCCGACAACACTGAACTTTTCCCCAGTGAAAATCTGAGGAATCCAAAGGATCTTTTAAACCGGTCTACAAATTCAGATTGTGCATGGGGGAAAACATTGCGTTGTGTTAAAATAAAAATTGTGCTTCAAATCTTTTTTGTTTGTTTGTACACCACTAGAACAAACACTGCAAAAGTGGTCTTAAGATGGACCCCTGATGAATACCATTGTTAATGGTTTTCCTGCAGTATTGTTTACTTAAAAATAAAAATGCATTAAGTCATTAAAATGACACTAAAAACAAAACACACGGCACACCTTTCAGTCCTGTGTCTTTAAAAAAGACAGTAATGCTATAAAAGCTCTTCAAGTTGTGTTCCTCCCCAAGTGACACATTATCCTTTGATAGCAACCTACAGGTCAGTTTCTGAAGAGTTTTGATTCTTAAACAAAGGTAAGAGCTAATCCCAATGTACGATAATAATAAAAGTGATCTTCTTAATTATTTGCTATAAGGGTAAAGTATATTAGAACTGTATGATTAAACCTTTTATTGTAAAGAGCGACAGATTTATAGGATGAAGGTCCACTGTCAGTTGTTAAACATGGTGTAAAGTCAAACAGGCTGTTGTAGAACTTCTTAGCTTCTGACATGTAATTTAAACTTTGTATATGAGTGTTTAAAGTTCATTATACTCAATTGTGTGTATCTAAAAAAAACATTGTTACTGAAACACTGCAGGGTCAATTTAGGTTACAACCCTGTAATTGCACATTTAGCACACTTAGTCTCATAAACACGTCATCATTGTTCACTCGGTTAGTGGAAGTACATTTCTTAATTTTAAAATTATTGTCTGCGACACTTAATGTACTGTATGTCTCTTTTCTCCTCTCACAGTTATGTCAGCAGGTTGACATATTTCCAGCCATGAGTGTGGTAGTCAATATCTTTCAGTATTTGTAAGTAGTCAAGTTAACAAATTTTCCTTTAAGAAGAAAAATTGTTCTATAAAGAAATAATGGTCAAGTCTTAATTGATGGACATGTGTGTCTAGATTACCGGTCTTGGTGGTGTCCATAGCTGTGGTTCTTCTTTGTTTCTATCTGCACGCAAAAAAGAAAAGAGCAGCATATGATGTCACAATAGCAACAAGGCAAGATGACACATCTTCAGTAGTGCATTCAATATCTTTGTCTGATGATCACCCAGAAGAGAACAGACATTACGACAGATTTCCCCCTCGGTACAGCACCGTGGATCACCCTCCTCCATACTCACTGGTATGTGTGCCCTAAAAACAGTCACTCACTACAAAAGACTGTTAAGATAGATCTAAACTCACACATTTAAACAACCAGCAATTGAAACAGAGCTTCTTTAAAAAGTTAAAATATTTGGACAGTCTCAAAAAATAGTTCTGGCAGAGCAATCTTTTAATAAGATTTAGGTTTAAAAATCAGGTTTAATAAGTGGATGATACTCAAATCAATATTTTTTATTCCTATTGAAAAAGTCTTTAATACATTACATATGAGCTGTTTGATGGATACTCTGACATTTTGGGGAATTTGCTTTTTTTTCTTGAATTATAGGAGAAGATTTGATACTCATGTCAGCGTAGGCCTACTAAATATGAAGCTAAAGCTAAAAGCCACTTAAGTTAGCTAAACATGAAGACTGACTACAGGCAAACTGCTAGATTTGTTTGGTCAAAAGAGATAAGAATCGACTAGCGTAGCAAAAGTTCCCTCGTCAACTTGTCAACTTGTCAGCTTGTTATATTTCGATTAATTCTGTACAAACTGCGCCTGGAACCACAGTGCATTGCTAAAGCTAACAAACGTATAGGTTACATGTATTTTTGTTATCTATACACAAACCAGTGAAAAGTTTTCAGGTTTTACAGAATGCCATTTGGCCTCTTTCAGCCTTGGAGTGACCTTGTCTTGCTGTTTTGTGTCTTTGTGCTAGGCTAAATGTTTGCTAGCAGTAGTTTTATATTCACCACACAGTACAAATTGTATTGAAGCGTATATGACAAAATAGCTATGTTTTATAAAAGTGAATATTTATTGGTTTTTTTTTAGTCTTGAGATAAAGCCAAAGGCGTGTTTGTCTGTTATTATAAGGTTTTAAGATTGTTTCACAGTGTAAAACACTGTCATTTCTAGTTTTACACAGTGTTACTGCAGGCTAATTTTATCTCAACTTCCTGCAGTTCGACCCCAAGCTAACCAGCGTTTGGCCAGGAGGCCCACCACCCGCCTACGAGATGTATCCGATAACGCTGCCTCTGGCACCTCATCACTGGATGCATCAACCTCCATCATCCTCCTCACCCAGCACCCACAACCACCCACACTTAAGATAAAGAGGCTACATCAGGGACCTTCAGGCTCCACTTAATTTTAACTGAAGACTCGCCTTGTGTTTTTTTTTCTGTATAAAAAGATAGTATTATAATTTATTTCATATAATTTTGTAATTTTAACTTGTGAAATAATTTGTATTAATATTAACAGTAGACAGTGAAGCAATGTTCTCAACATTTTCAATTTTAATACATTTTTTTTGTGAGCATCAAACTACAGTGTAGCTGTTCAACTTCATCTAACTCAGCGGCTGCATCTTCAAAGCACCAGGTATTTCTATGTTAGGCTATATTCTCTTTATTACAATACAGTACGTACAAGTTGAGGGAAAATAGAGTTAAAAATTAAAGAAGTTACCAGCGTTTGTATATTTCTATGAAGGAACAGTGATGGAGTGTTTCCTTGGCTTTCAATCTATGTTAAGGCAAAAGTAAGTCTGAACTTGAAGCCACTGATAAATATTTTACATCCAAAAATGACAAAAAAAAAAAAAAACTTTTATCACTGGTCCAACCTGTATTAAAACAGAATATGCTTTCATTATACAATCAGTGCATACTGCAGGCTGCTACTGCTTTTTTTTATTGTTTTCCTTTGAGAGTTTAAATGTTCTCAGTGCTACAAACACAACTTCAAAAGAACCAAGTGGGCAGCCATACGACATTTTGATCCATTCAATTGATCCTCTCGATGTCCAACTAACAACACCAGCAAAAAGACATCAAATAATCAACATAAAAATGGAACAAAAACAAATTTTAGACTTCAAGATGAATGCAAAACATTAGTTTTCCACTACTCTCATTGTGTTACGTTATTTTCCGATTCATTCGATTGTGTGTGCGTACATGTATTGCATCATGTATATGTTTCAGTTCAAAATTATCTATTGCTGTTCAGTTTTGAAATAAGTGGAGTCATACAAGATAAAGCACATACAATCATACTGTATGATTAAATGGTAAAATAGAGGATTTGATACAAATAGGACATTTGGTTTCTTCCTTTTAACCTACCAGTCAAATGTAAACATTACACTACATAAAGTAGGAAAGGCTAAAAAGTTTAATATGCTTTAAAGACAACCTTCATAGAGCACTGTTACCTGCCAAATATATTCTTTTCTTTTCTAAGTCTACGTTCACATTATTAGAACTTACACACGCTCACTCACACTTTTGCACTAAACCTCAGAATGGACTCTGAATCCTTCTCAACACATATCTATAAAATAATTTCAAAATAAAATACAAGCTCAACAGAGGAACACTAAGTTTGTACAAAAACGCTCTACATGAGGCTGGTCATTTGCACTGAATCATGACTCTCGGCCTTTCACTACAGACGTCCACGGACATTAACTGCATGGAGAAAGCCCCTCTGGAGCTACCAGTATTTAATCGTCCACCTTAACTGTGACCCTTTTTGTCGACTCTTAGAACACCCAGCTGACAGGCACCCACTGCTGCTCCGTCAACAGTTTGTCCAGCGCCAAACGAAGACTTCTGAATGCTGCCTCAAGGCCGTCGTTTACGATGCACAGGTCAAAGTAATGTCCATAAGCCCGCTTAATGCGCTCGCTCTCGTCCACTGTCCGCTTAAGTTCAGAGTCCTGTGGAGAGAGATGAGCATGATTGTGATTCAATTTAGGATGCTTCAAATGCAATAACAAGAAAATGACCTGGATGGAAGGACCGAGTCAACACTGATCTCAAATGAGTTTGCATCATTTAAACAGAAGAAATGCAACTTTCTTGTTAGCGTTCTTTTATGCTGAGTAAATCAAACACATTACATTACTAATGAGCTTAATGTGAAAACTATTTAAGAGAACAACATGAAACTGTTTGGTGGATTCTTAAAGCAGCACTGACATTGGAAGCCTGTTCACACTTGTTTTTTCCATCTTAAGTATTTCTCCGTTAAATTCTATCATTGTTACTTAAATGCTACAATGTTACATTTTTAAAATAATCTCATAGCTATAATTCATTGCTTTTCTTAACATTCAGAAGGGGGGGGGGGGGTCGTCTCTACATGTTGCAAAAAGTGTATGAGAAAAAATTGCCCTGCTTCTCACTTTCTTTTCCAATACAGTTAAATAAGTTACTGATGGACTGATTTAGAGTAAGGAGGGGATTAATAGGGGATACTCCAGGGCATGGCATTTTTGTAATTGATTGGATGCCTGCAGGGAGTTATAAAGGTGAAGGCAAAGTAGAACTGCTCGATTAATCGCAATTTCATTGTTAAGCTTATAACACATGGCAAAGTGACTTCTTTGCAACACATTAAAAAAGTTTTTGTATGAAAGCCATGCATTCTTATCTAGCCTGTGTACATTTAATAATTGGACAGAGGTCTGGTTATGATGGCCATGCATCACACTACTCTGATGCATCCACAAGAAGCTTCAGCTAGCTATCCGCTACGCTCTGATTTTTTGCTGCCAATTTAGTTGTAAAAAAACATTTGGGATTCATTTTGGATTCAGAAGAAACATGTTTCGAAACAGGTTTTCTGTAAAACATGAACAATAGCAGATAAATAATAATAATAAATTAGATTTATATAGCGCTTTTCTAAATACTCAAAGACGCTTTGACAGGAAACAACAAAAAACAAAACAAAGACTAAGAGAACAATACAACATAGAAGTAGTGTCGAGGGAAGAGGATGAGAGTCAGTGATGAAGAGGTGAGTTTTTAGGACCGAAATGTATTCTAAATGTAGAAACAATGTGAAAGCTAATATAATCTCTAATATATAATATAATTATTTTTAAAGCAAAGAAGTTTACATCCACCCTCTCATCAAAATAAAAAGACTAACCCTGTTTGATTAAACATTTAAACAAGCACTAAACCAGAAAGCCAGCAATACTTCATGTTAAATAACCTGACTGTCAGACGTTTGGCAGAAAACTGTGTTTATGCCCAAGTCTATTTTTCACTGTTAAGAGATTGATAGCAAAATGGCCATGTAACACACACTCACCGTTAACTGTTTGGTGACCACGCCTGACTCAATAGCTGACCTATTCATAGCTTTGAGAACCTCAAAATCTGGAGCTTCAATGAACACAACATAGGGCAGGAACTCCGACGTCCTCAGCACTTTGAGAGCCTGCAGAAGAAAAAAAACACTGTGTTTTTTAAAATCACCGCATCACTGAGCTGCAAGAAATGCAAATGTAGGAAAACCAGCATATAATTATAAACTGAGAATGTGATTAAAATGCAACTGCAGTATCTCCCTCGGAAAACTGTATCAAGCTAATGTGTGTAAATAAGATTAGCTGAGTGTTTCCAGCGTGTAATATAGATCATTAAGAGATCCTTTTTTGATAAATATTGATGATGTGCTCTGCCTGGTAATACTTGAGCAGCATCTAGCTCGGCATAATTGGTTAGAAATGTGAATTCTTGAACTTGAGTCATTTGAATTGGAAAAAGGTGAGAAATAACAGATCCAAAGTTAGGAGGAAAAGGGGGCACGATATGTAGGAGAGGGAAAATGAAAGAACGTCATTCACATATGAGCTTCCTATACCTGTGGGTTAACGTCCAGGATGCAGATCTTTCCTGTTTCTATCACCTCGTGTATGGAGTTGATCTTAGTGCCGTACAGGTTACCGTCGTACTCCCCGTGCTCCAAGAAACGAGCATTTTTTATGTCGCACTCCATTTCGCTGCGGGTCATGAAGGAGTACATCTGGCCGTCCCGCTCATCCACCTTTGGTTTTCTGGAGGTGACTGAAGGGTGAAAACAGGCACATTTAAATCAATTCAACAGTTTAAACACAGAAGGGTAAAATATGACACCGCCAGATGGATTTGGTATAAGAGTGTGTAGTAATCATGGATTGCTGCACTCACAGGGGATGGTGGTTCCATATCTCTGGGAATCCGACACCAGCAGCTTGTTTTTCAGACTTCGACGACCAACACCCTGCGCACCAATCAGAACGAGCGTCTTCCTCCTGAAGGGCGGGACTTTGGCGACCTCTTCGTATATCCTCAACTCGTGCCGATCAAATTCTGGTCAGAGAATAACCATGATGAGAATTGAATGAACATTTAGTTTGAAAGCAAAAGAATGTGACGTTGTGTGGTGTGTTTTTGGGTACCTGCATTCTTGGTCGTCAAATACATCATCTTTTTCTTCTTCTTGCCCCCCATTCCTGCACAAAGAGGACCTGAGATGGACAAAAAAAACACACACTAAAAGGATAAAAAAAAAACTTTCAACCTTGGCGCATGTCTCTGCCAGCCACTTCAACAAAGCCTGTGTTCAAACGATGCACTAAGAAGGTGAAGTGTCTCTGAAAGCACTGCCAGGTCATAAATCCAACATCTTAAGACGGTTATAGGGAGGCAGCACCACTAAGGGGCACTGTGCACCAACACTGCAATGTGCAACCAAGTCTGCTGCTAAAAAAACACCTGTGACTAGACAATCTGCTCTGAGGGAGAATATTGTCTTTGCACAAACATGAAGGCGATCCTGGAAGCAAAGATGAGCTAAGTTATCTATTTCATGTCTGATTAAACTCTTCAAGTTGGCTCAACAAGAATTGTTGCAGCCAGGTCACTAAATGCTAAGTATTTCTCTGATTAATATCTGAATTCAATTTTTGGACCTCCAGAATCATCCAATAATAAGCCGTTCATTTATGTATTCAAATCATGCTCTCTGTTTATGTGTAAGACGTGGCAGCAGACAGATGTGTCCTCCACAGGCTTCAAGGGCAGAACATTTGTGCCGTCACCTTCCTCTCCTCCTGAAGTGAAGGGCATGCAGCCCTGACTCACCATCTGTTTCGCTGCTCCTGAGGAACCAGATATGTCTAGCAGAAAACAGCCTCTTATTCACTCATAAGAGTAGCAATGATTATTGATCAGGGGTCTTATCCTTCAGTTTGTGAATGGCAGCCCCTGTAGCTTCATAACCAGCAGATTGGATCTGGGCGCCTGAGTCACGCAGTTGCTCATTACTAGCTCTTGGGCGCTCACTGACAGACTGTAGAGGGGAAGGGGGGGGGGTGCTTGTATGATATGGAGAGGAACAGATGTTGTCTTTGTGAGGTGAGGAGCCTGTGTTGAATCTGCATAATGAGAGGTGCTGCTGCCGAGTGTGTACCTGTAGTAGCAAGCTCCAGATCTCTCTTCACAAACGCTTTCCTCTTCTCCTCCAGCAGCTGGCTCGGTATGAGACCTGCACTGCCCCCCTCTATGTGACAGGCCTGTGAGGGGGAAACATGCACACACACAGAAGGATGAGCCAACATGACAAAGACCTTAAAAAAATGTTGAATATGTTTCGAGTATGTGCTGGAGGGTGAGCACACCTGCCACCAGT